GAATGAATGAATGAATGAATGAATGCATGAATGAATGAATTAATGAACTAATGAATTAATGATTTAACTAATTAATTTATGAATTAATTAATGAATTAATTAATTAACAATTGGCTGAATGAATAAACAAAACAAGTCAAAATTGAATTAACGAATGTATAAACGTATGAACGAAAGTATTGATTAGCCTAAATGAATGAATAATCCTGAATGAATGAAATAACTGACTCTAAGAATGAATGATTGAATGGATAAAAGAAAAAAAATAAACATACGGACAGTTGAACGAACAATTGATTGAATGTGAATAAACTTTCAGACGGATCAATAAATAAAATTAGACATTACAGCATTAAAAAACAGATGAAAAAATAAATGAACTAATGATAGAATGAAAATGAATTGATGAATGGAAAATCGATGGACAGACAGACAAAATTACAAAAAAGAAGAGTTGATTTGATTCCAGGGAAGGATAATCAATCAGTTAAAGAAATTAACGTTCTTTTTGTCATTTAAATTTTTTGCATTTACAAAAAAATATTCCATATCACTACAATCACAAATTATTTATGTATAACATATCATTCTATTAAAATATTACATAACATTGACTACCTTTCTATACTCTGTTACTTAACTAATACCTTTCTTGCCAGTGTTGTCAGCTATATAATAATTCGGAAAATTTTAAACTCTTAAACCGCAGAGCAGAACCTAATAAAATGTTTAGAATTTGTAAAGCATGAGAAAAAATTTCAAATACATATTTACGTTTTGATGGACCGGGCAAAAGCGAATAAGTCGAAAAAAAGATATGATCTGAACAAAAGAAATCCATTTTTTCGCATAAAACCTACTTCAACATGCAAACTCGTGAATCTTTCGAAGTTTAATTAGTATTTTGTAAGGCCCTGACCAAACTAACGCTATCACCAGCATAATGACGGGAAATCTATGAAGAGAATGCTTGTATCGTGATCGAGCATGTTGTAGACCAATAACTATTAAAAATTTTTTACAACCCTCAACACGTTTGAAATCGAAAGAGATATTCAAAGTTATATTTGTTATTCAAAACTTCATAATCTTGATTAAGAAAATATTAAAAAAACCTTTCAATATCAAAGTTGAAAGAAAGTAAAAATAGGATGATTGGACGAATGTGAAATGAGGCTAAATCATGGATACATTGGGGCATAGTTGAGCAACTTCTCGATGATGTCGAGACTTTATGTTTTCACTTTATAGCCAAATACTTGCTTTCAAAGTATATCAACATCAAAATGAAATGCACGTATAACATGCACGAGCAATCGTAACGTGTTTGACGTCGTGTGGATAAAACAGTTTTTGTGGCACTTAAGTTTTAGTTCAACATGTAAGCGTTTGACAGATTGGCTTTTTAAATAATTTTGTTTGATAAAGTTGAGAAATTTCTAGATGAGGTCGACGTGGCTGAGCAGCATTCTTCTGCATCAGTACATCTTCAATCCCAATTCATCCCGAGCGTCACTTTTTCGAAGAGCAAAGTATGTTCAACATTTAAACAGCTCTGCGTTTGACAGTGGCATTTTAAATAATTTTATAATTTGTTATTCAAAACTTCATAATCTTGATTAAGAAAATATTAAAAAAACTTTCAATATCAAAGTTGAAAGAAAATAAAACAAAAGATGATTGGACGAATGTGACGCTAAATCATGGATCCAGTGGGGCATAATTGAGCAACTTCTCGAGGATGTCGACGTGACTGAGCAGCATTCTTCTGCAGCAGTACCTCTTCAGTCCCAATTCATCCAGAGCTTCACTGTTTCGAACAAATTGTTTTTCATATTATTGATATTTAACAATGAATTCTGTGCTAAATTAAAAATCAAAGCAAAAATTGAAATTAATAAAAAAAAGTACTGACCATTCTGTGTAATCAGCCTCTAATAGTCTCAAGTATTTGTTCCATAAATTTCCAATAACCTTTCCACACGTGAAACATCTGATCGGAATAATCATTTTTCTTGCTGGACGGATGTATACTAATAAGTTGTCAAACAAAACGACAAGCACGCAACGAGAGCAGAAAGGTGTGATGATATAACCAAGCTGCTACGCATTTATATACTAATATATACAAAGTAAAAAAACAAATTATCGATCGTAAATTAACGATCGAACAAAGAATATC